TTTTAAAAATGAAGTTGATAAAAACAAAAGCTTAGTGTTAGTGAGGGAGTGGTAAAAGGGCCACTCTCCCCACCAGTCAGTCATATGATCACTCTGTGGGACACTTTAGGAACAGGAGTTCAAATTAATAAAAAGATGTGCACTGCATAATCTTTGATGTACCAATTCCACCTTCTCTTTAAGGAAATAATTGGGGCTGTGTGAAAAGATTTATCTACAAATATGGTCATCACGGTATTTTATAATAGCCAAAAACTAAAAGCAACGTAAAATCATTTGGAGACAGGCACGGTGGCTCATGCCTATAATCCTAGCACTTTGGGAGGCTGAGGAGGGTGGATTGCTCTAGCTCAGGAATTTGAGAGTAGCCTGAGCAAGAGAGAAACCCCATCTCTAGTAAAAATAGAAAAACTAGCTGGGTGTTGTGGCAGGCACCTATATTCCCAGCTACTTGGGAGGTCGAGGCAAGAGGATGGCTTAAACTCAAGAGTTTAAGGTTGCTGTGAGCTATGATGACACCACCACACTCTACCCCAAGGGACAGAGTGAGACTCTGTCTCAAAAAGGTTGTATACTGAAGATGCACTTATAGTTGTCACCCTTCTTTCTTTATTTCCTTCCTTTCCTTTCATCTTACTTTCTCCTTTTCTTCCTTCCATTCTAGATTTGAGCTTGACCCCATGGCACTCTATCAAGGGTGAAAGAATGAGCCTCAGTCTTAAGTAAATAAATAAATGCATTGGGAATTGGCTAAATACACTGCAGTATATATGTATGTGTATATCTATGTCTCTCTATATAATGAGATATTACATCATTACTAAGCATTCTACAAGAATGAATAAGAGAAAATGTTAAATGGAGGAAAAACAGGTTATTAACCATGTGATATGAATCCCACTTTATTAAAAACAGTGTGCTTATACCTGCATTAAAATCCTCTCTGTCCTCAGCACTTAGCTTGATTGAGAGCAAAATGATGAATAAGGGGAGAGCAGGAAGAGATGAAGAGAGAGATAATGGTGCAGCCTGGGCAGATCGGGTAGCTCTCAGAAGACCACTCT